ATGTACGTATGTACAGTATGTACTCAGATGCATTGCGGCTCTTGAAATACTGAATTTTGTACCGAATTGGAAAGAAATGGCTCTTCTTGTTATTTTGGTTGCCGACCCCTGCTCTAGGTTGTCTCAGCCTATATGCGTATCTAGTAACTGGGGTGTAGTCTTTAACATCAGTACTGGGATGGTACAGTTGCTGGCCATGTATAATATCAGTGACTAAGGGTAGGTTATGAGCCCTGTAGATCAACTCAGCCTAAAATAAGCAGCCGATGTGGCAGAGTGGTCCACAAATATTGTGACGTGATGTTGGTCCCACCACCATTTATCTTCAGTGCCAGCCTAAATAGGTGTTCACGACCAATAATTGCCCTAAGCAGTGTGTTTAGACCAAGGTTACTCTTGAAAATACGATTTATCTTGGCATTCTGAGTTCTCAACGTCGAGTCCTCCCCTGGTTAAACAACATAAACTAGTAGCTTGAGAAACCAGGATAAAGGGGGTATTTTTTAACATCTTCACGGGAAAATGAACGTGTTCATGTCTCAATCGCCGGCAACTGGGTAAAGTGCCATGGCAATGTGTTTCGGCCATTTCATCAAGTTGTGAATCTCGCACAACTTGTATGAAAAGTTTCTGTATACACGTGTCTGTTTGTGTAGTTGATTGAAGAAAAGTTGTGTTTATTTGCTCGTAACACATGGGGCTCTCCCACGACCTCCTGCCAGCAAGCCTTTGCAAATTCACGTGGTCTCAAGGTGCACCTAGCCTGGCACAACCGTTGCGATGAAATCACTGCCACTTAGAGACACGTGGGAAATCGCAGTCTTTTTGACAACTGTATTCCAATTATGGTTATTGGCATCGATGTGATGACATGAAGTGTCTATTCAGAATAGCCCGAGGAAGACGATATCACAGAACTGCTTCGGAGAGCCATTCAATTTACCTCTCTCATCCCTACACGATGGGGTGCTGCACTTTCCAAAAATCACCCTGGTACAGCGAGATGCTCGCTGCCATCAGCCAAACCAATGTTACATTTTCTCAGATGTGCACTTTACCTCGACGAAGTGAAAATGTCTATTTTATTAATCAAGCGAGCATGACTGCTGATGAAGACACAGGTCCAGAATTTACTTGGGTTGTGTGATCAATGCTGCCGAAATTATGCTCTCCCAGAAGGCCGTGCAGCTGATGTTTGGTGTAGCAAATACTTTTATTTTGTCTGTGTATACAGATACATAATGTGTAGACATTTTGTTTTATTTCATTTATTTTGCTACTTATATTCACTACAATGACACAAATGATAATTTTAGGAATATTTTAGAATGAAGGACTTTGGGTTGACACTTTAGAACCTGGTTCAATTACAGACGGCTGAAACCTGGATCTGAGTCTAGGATCTCAACGAAAGCCGCCCAGCCAATGCTTAGCTATTACTCTTGTTACTATATAACTAGGCTATACAAACAGACAATCGCTCACGTACTGAACTCCTGCTCTGAGAGATCCATTCCCGGTGGCATCGCAACCACTCACTCTGCCTCACATAAAGCCGTTGAAGAGAATACTAACCTCAACATCAAACTAGAACTGTTTCTTCAGCCATACGAAGAATATGACTAGGCTATACTATAAACAAAACACATTTAAATTTCGATTTAAAGCTTTCGTGACTGCAGGGATTCATCTCCTTGGTTCTTTCGGTAAAGTCACGTAGAAGGGAAATAATAAAATAATAAAAATAAAACATTATAAAATTGCATTTGATGAAATCACTGCCACTTTTTTTTAATTATATTTCGCTTACAAAATTGTATTTTATTATGTTTAATTTTTATTATTTTATTATTTCCTTTCTACGTGACTTTACCGAAAGAACCAAGAAGAAAAAACACATTTATTCAGCCGTTGTGATTTCCGAACATTTGCCAGTGGCTGAATTGCATTAGCGTGTTTTAAATTACATTTTCATTGTTGCACAAAGGCGTCTGTTCTGTGTGGGGATTCTGAAAGTTGTTGTCTTATGGATATACTGCTCGCAGACAGGTGGAATTGCCAGCACTGGTTCAGAAGATGGGCACCACGGCCTGTCGTCCAGAAGTCAATTGCCAAAGGGCCATACAAAATATTACTATGAGTATTATTATTTGTTTTAGATGTATCAATGATGCGCATCATTTTCCCAGTAACAAAAAAAAGGTGATGATAATAGGACCGTTTTTTTTTTAAAGCAGAGGCATATTTAGAGAGCAGAAATTGTATTTAATTGTAATGTGCACTCACCGTGAATTCAAAGCTGAGTCACCTTTACAAAAATCTCAACCCTCCCTTCCACCGCTGCCCATATCTCCCCCCACCCTCATTCTCCGCGAGGCTCAATGCTGCTTCCTTAACCTTTTCCCTATTCACCTCTACCCCAGTAGCCTTTCGAAGTAATATTACGTTCAAATTAAAAGGTGAATATTAAACGCTGCGCCAAGACGCCCATGAACGGAATCGTGAAAAACGCTCGGAGGTAATGCGGAGGAGTCTTGCAAATTGTGCCGATGTCGTGAGCGTATTTCTTGCAGCCGGCCGTACCGCTGGCACTGTGGTAGTCACAGTTGCATAACTCCTGCGTGGAATATTCTGATTTTGAAACGCGGTCGAAGTCTGATTGAGATATAGATAGGACTCACCGCCTCCGCTCGGTGATTCAAATGCTCGACGCCATTTGGTTTAAAAAACTTTTTTTTTAAAGAAATGCAGCAAACCATGGCACCTCTGTTGATAACTGCCAGTCAAGTTACAAGGAGACAGAAGGGAGAGTGAATGGGTTCATCACTTACGACTGACGAGACCCATTCAGGTTCCACAGCATTTTCACACTTTGGGACAGACACGGACTGAGCCTTGCATTGCAAATTTGGGCTGGCATTTTCTTTCCATTTGATATGAAGCGATTTCTCTTACAACAGGGTTTTTTTTAAATGATATATATTTTTGCGCCACGTGACATAATTGGCATGTACTGGCGTTGTGAAGTAAAAACGACTGCATGTGACTACGAATGCATACATTATCTATTCTCTGCGTCTCTTATCTCTTGTTAATCTTGCATACACCTTACTGTACCTAGTCTCAAAGAGCCATATCTGTTGGCGGACCATAGTCTCCTGGGGCACCCCCAGAGTATCCGTGGGCCAAATGTGGCACATAGGCAACCGGTTAATGAGTCGTGCATGAATTGACATCGGTGGATCTATTGTGAGCTTGATAATAACTGGCACCTCCGATTAGCACGGATGACCACGTGCGGTGCAAAAGAAGTTCAATATACGTACATACAATTGGCACTGATCAATACATTGTCACAGCACGACCAAGGCAGCCATCATCCTGCCAGGATTGATATAAAAAGAAAGGAGTATAATTTTGTGGGAAGTCACGATGGTGTTCCGTATTGTTCATATGTCTCCCACACCCACAGCATTGTGACACTTTCATCACTCCCTCACATCCCCGCACTTCAAATTAGCACGGTTGGCTACGTACGTTGCGAAAGAAGTTCAACATACCATCCCCAACACATGCTTGAATATTAAGACAAATTGTCATTGAATTAATGTTTTATAATTTTCACACACACATTCTTTTTTACTATTTTCCACTAATTTTGTTATTTATTTCCACATGGGAAAAATACACAACTGACAGAGGAGCAATTTCTGCCAACAAATAAATGAGTTCTTGCTTAAGCCCAAAGGGAAATAGTAATATTTGAAGATTCCAAATTTGTATGTCACACTTATAAAAGTCGATACTAAATTTGGCAAACGATTTGCTGTTTATTAGGACCCCCTCCCCTCCCCACACGTGTTATAATGTTAGATCCATGCTGCATTTTACGTTGATTCGACCTCATTTGTTGTGAAAGCCGGAAGCAACATCGGCATGTCCGACTTGCCTTGTGCCAAACACTCATTCATGGAATTGGCCAAACTTCCTCCTCTTCACATCCAGGCCTCAGACTACCCTGTATTTCACTCCCTATGGCCCCGCCTCCTTCAAAAATACAAAGAAAAAATCCATCTTTCACAACCATCTGTTTCTTGCCCTCTTCCAAACCCTCTCAATGCATATATCCCCTTTGCTCGGTCAGCGCATTGCATAACAGTTGCATTCAGAGACTTCGTAATGCCAACTTTGAAAGCAACCATTCTAAAGAAGCAGAACACTTTCCTCAAATGTCAAACTACAAGCGCAGCCACCGTGGCAGATATGACTGCCGCGTCGGCCCTCGCAACCACAGTCGCCCACACAGGACAAGAGACCGCCGCCGTCACCAGTGTCATCTTCGGTCACAAAGGACAATGAAATCATCCCGACCCTGACGTCAGTTGTCTATCTTGGAGTTTGCGTGTCTGTCTCTCTCGCCGTGGTCGTGTGGATGTTTTTCTGGGTCTTCCGGTTTTTCCCTCCACATCTGGAAACGTGCATTTAGAGCATTTGGCTGCTATACATTTTACACGTGATAAGCCACTTCTTTGAGCTATTATTTGTGGCCAGGTTGCTTCTGAAATAGAGCTATACAGCTCAGTGGGTTTTACCTGGTAAAATAAAAAACTTTAGTTTCAGTAACAAGTCACACGGAGACACTTCTGATGGCCACAAGGGACGCCAGCGATCGGTGGTGCGAGAACTTAGACGGCCTGCGACGGCCCGAACGGAGCAACTTCAACGAAGACGCGACACAAGGCACAACCAAAATCCCGTGGTTGAAGTGCGATCCGTCCGTCACGTAGCCGGCGACTGCACATTTACACCGCGCTTACACACGACATACGGGACCGCTAGACATCAAGCAACTCCCGATGCCACCGCGTGGATTGCCAGACGCAACGCACAGCTATAACGCTTTTGTCGGTTGCTTTTCAGGTGCCGTACAAAAATAAAAAGGATGACGACACAATGCCAAATTGAATTGTGACATTTTGTAAAAAGTATGAAACTCCCACCTGGAACACGGTGACGATTGCCCAGAGGAGGGAGTCGAAGTTCTTCCGATCGGGGATTGTGTCTCCCGTGTCGGTCTTCAGGCTGAACTTGCATCCAAAGAGATGCATCCCCAGGATGCTGTCAACGGCAATCGCAACAGAAGGAAACGCGGTGAATCGGGCGGGTCATGAGCGTCACCTAACACTGAAACTAATGTGCACGTCAGTTGGCACTGATGCTGGACGTAATTTCCAGCGAAACGTCGTACTCAAAAATTGTAAATGTTGTGGATTCACTCTTCAACACACCGGTGGGCTAAAGTAGTGAACTATTTGTTTTTTGTCAACGTGACACTTCTTTACTGATTGGGCATGTCGGGTGGTTGAGGGTTACGACACATTTATAAATAATGCGATCTAACCCAAAAACTTTATTGTGAATCATAAAAAGTGTTGAATTCAGAATAAACGTCGTTATTTTGCAGTATACTGGCAGTGATCCTTGTTATACTCCGCACGCGGTCATTGGGTGTGTCGCGTGAAACAGGGTCCCACCTTCTTGGTTCTTTCGGTAAAGTCACGTAGAAGGGAAATAATAAAATAATAAAAATAAAACATAATAAAATACAATTCTCACGACGTTTCGGCCACAACGCAAGCAGCCGTCCTCAGGCGAAGAACAGGTCTGTCGGAAAGACAGCGTCTGAATGAACACCACCAAGCTTGGCAGCGTATATTTAAGCTGCTGGGTTAGGGTCCCACCATCAACTAAACCACAGCGGTTCGGGTACTAGAGCCAGGGTCGGCTATTGACCAAAACACGCAAAAGCTCATGTCACTAAGGGTCACACCGCTACAGTGAGTGCATTCACTATTCTGATTAACGCCCTGCACCTGTTACCTGCAATTACAAAACATGGGCCAGTTTTCACTGTCTGTCTGAAATGGAGCCATGACTCGTTACGAATCGGAGTGGCTGCAGGCAGCCGGGCTGCGGGGGCGGTGAGGGGACACACTCGTCATCAGCATCATGATCCATGGGCAGAGAGCCCCGTAGGTATCCGCTGCACATTTCGTCATTAGTTTCCACTTTCCTCTGTCTGGTCCCAGTATGCTCAAGTAGTGGCCACATCTTTTTGGCACCAATCTCTTGCGATGTCATCGTCAAGCCATTTCCTGTTGGGTCTTGCCCCTCTTTCTGGTTCCTTCCATTGTGCCATCCTGTGCCATCCTACCACGCGTGCCCAAACAGTGCCAGCTGCCTTGTCGTTCGCCGCCGGTGGCGCTCACCTGAAGATAAAGATGAAGAGCATGAGCAGCATGCAGAAGGTGGCCACGTTGTCCATGGTTCTCATGAGCACCAGGAGCTGGCGGCGCAGCGCGGGCATGAAGCGCACCAGCTTGAGCACGCGCAGCAGCCGGAACGTGCGCAACACCGAGAGCCCTCCGCCCGACTGCCCCACGATCTCCCACACGCTGCCACGCAGAGACAAAGGTAAAGCCGTTAACAGGACTGGTGGGGCGAGCGGTGCTGTTAGCGAGCACCCTACGAAGGGCCGGCGGGCACGCACGTAGAGGTGTATACAATAATATACAAAGACAAAGGTCCCCCGTATAGCCTATAACAGACTGTTGGGGAAAGTGCTGTTAGCAAATGACATTTATGAAGGCCGGCACACGGCACACATACACAGACGTAATCATATACAACTTGTAAGGGATGTCAGGGGAAGGATTCCCACCAGAGGGAGGGGGAGTGGGACGGTGGCAGTGGAAGGAGCATGCGAGGAGATATGAGAGAGAGAGAACGGGCGGGAAAGAGGGGAGAATTGGTGGCAACCGGATTGAGAAGGCTGGGGACGAGTGTGAAGCAATAGAAGACGAACCCCCTGCAACCTTGTGTCGGCCCTCCTTCACACAACGATCCCCCATATAGCCTGAGCAGACTTGAGCAGCAAGTGCTGTTAGTGAGCACCTATGCACATGATGGGGTGGGTGACCAGCATCACGCCCGGCTGCCTTTGTCTCCCCAGTGGCGATATCTACACACCGCACCGGGCACTCATTTAAGGCTGAGTTGACCTAGGTGTGGCCCAAGATCGGTTCGTATAATTGTCACCGGTGTTGGCCGTGAGCAGTAATCGAACTCGGCTTGTCAGGTTCAAGGAGCAGCGCGCTAACCACTGCGCCACTGCTATGCACGCACAGCTGCTTTAGTATAAGGGGCCGTCCATAAATGACGTCACGCACCTGGGGGGGAGGGTCAGACATTTGTGACGATGTGTGAAGATGGGGGGGGGGGGGGGGGGTTGAGAAATGTGACGTCACATCAAAATGCGCAACTTTAATAAATATAGACAACACGTTCTACTTCATTAAATAGACTTTTTAATAAATGTTTTCTCCTACAACATCAGAGTGCAGCGCCACATTAAATACGCACCACAATGGCAATAGTTTAAAGCGATTTGAAGCATGTTTTTTTTTGGGGGGGGGGGGGGGCAGAGCTTTGTGACGTCATATTTGAGGGGGGGGTCTGACTTTTTGTGACGCCGTGTGACGAAGGGGGGGGGGGGGGGTAAAAATCGCCCAAAATCGCGTGACGTCATTTATGGACAGCCCCTAAACCGAAGCTGTATGTTTTTAAAGTTCGACACCGACCTGATGATGACGATGACGCCGTCGAAGATGTTGTACTGGTTGCGGATGTAGCCAAAGAGGCCGCACGCGAAGATCTTCAGAAGCATCTCGAGCGCAAACATGCTCGTGAACACGATGTTGCTGATCTCTAAGATGTTGGTGAGCTCCTCCGGCTGAAATGAAACACGTGAAGAGACATGCGGGCCATTAAGTGCCTGATCACACACGCGGACACGAAGTCAAAGATCCCCGGCGTTTAGCCGAAAGATGACAGAAACGAATTCCAGCTAGCGAGCTCACACCGAGGCGACTGACTCGGCACACCTGTCCTCTCCCCAGAGCTGAAGTTTGCAACACTCAACCTTTTAAGGCTGAGTTGACCTAGGCTAAGCCCAGGTTCTTGCCACTCGAATGTGCAATGTCGAGAGAAACAATCGGAATCCAGATCGCTGGGCTCATGGGTGCAGTGCGATGAGCAAGTGGGCAACCCTCCCTCGGCACAGACGTGCACACACGTGCACGCAATGCAAGATCCTCACACAGTATTAGCTCTAAGAGACTGTTGGGGGGACACGTGCTCCTAGCACGATCGGCAAAGTATGGGGAGCAAGGCGCGTCTTCCCGGTGCTGGTGTTCACACCCTGCTCCAGCCACTTATTCAAGGCCAAGTCGCACTTACGTAGTCACTGGGTTCTAATAGGGCAGTGAGTGCTCGCCACTACACTCGTTTTCCTCAATGCATATTTATAGATGTAAAGCTTTCGTGACTGCAGGGATTCATCTTCTTGGTTCTTTCGGTAAAGTTACGTAGAAGGGAAATAATAAAAGAAAAATAATAAAACTTAATAAAATACAATTCTCACGACGTTACGGCCACAACGCAAGCAGCCGTCCTCAGGTGAAGAACAGGGCTGTCGGGGAGACAGCGTCTGACAGACCTGTTCTTCACCTGAGGACGGCTGCTTCCGTTGTGGCCGAAACATCGTGAGAATTGTATTTTATTATGTTTATTATAACAGTTATATTTATTTATTTAACTATTATATTTTTATTATTTTATTATTTCCCTTCTACGTGACTTTACCGAAAGAACCAAGAAGCTCAATGCATATTGCCAAATGGAAAGTGGTCAAATAGATCATAACACGAAATGCCCTTCAATGACATACAGATATTGGTCAGGAATCACTTCAGGGAAATGCGTCAGCTTCACAAAAAGAATGCTCCTTATAAGCAATCGTCCATACTAACTAACTTGGGACTCGTGTTGTTTCACGAAATTAATTTAAAAAATTTTCGAAGCGTAAATATTCTGGAAGGTGATTTCCATTCCGCAATGGAGAAAATAACTACAGCTGCGAAAATTGCGTATACAACGGTAAAATGATCGTTTCTTTTAAAGCGCGTGCAAACATGTGTATGGAAACGTGAAATCGAGATTAAGGCGCCGTCAAACTCGATGACTATCTTGTAAGTAATATAACAAGGCAGATGATTAAAACGGGGTGAGAAGTTTCTCCCAAAAAAATTTCAGATAGCATCGTTTTGTTCATTGGATTCCAGTGGATACCTCGACTCAAATCTAAGAAACCCATATGTCTTGCTCGTCTCTTTGCCTTTGGAGCATTGCATGCCCCTTACGAATCATAATCTCACAGTACTGTGGCAAGCAAATGATCACCGTCATCAGACATTGTCTATACACTGTTGGATGAAAGCCAAGCCACATGCGTCTCTGTCCCGCAGGATGATCTCATCGCTTCATTGGCCATCCTAACCTTCCCAGGTGCATGCCATCATTTGGCTGTCATTCCATCACCAGTCTCGTCCATTGGCCATCATCCGTCTTTGCGACGTATGCTCTCTACATCCGCTTAATTTCCTTTGGCAGTCCACAGGATGTCTCTAATTGGCATTTATTCCCCTGGTGCAACTGTTCACCTATTTATGTCTCTCTGTGTAATTTGAAGCATTCATCTTGCCAGGCACCTTTGCTCACCATGCAAATTTTGCTCCCAGTTTCTTTGTCAGCGTCCATGTTTCTGATCCATGCGTGATGTTAACTACCTCGCCTGGTATGCAGGAGGCCGTGGGTTCGATCCCGACCCTGACGCCTGTATATTTGGACTTTGCATGTTCTCTCTGTGGTCGCGTGGATTTTTATCGGGGTCCTAAGGTTTTTCCCTCCACATTAAGAAACATGCATTTAGAGTATTTGGCTGCTGTAAATTTCCACGTGATGAGCCACTTCGTTGAGCTATCATTTGTGGCCAGGTCGCTTCTGAAAAAAGAGCTACAGTGGGCCTTACCTGGTGAAATAAAATAAAAAGTTACGTTTATAATGAGAATTATGCACCGTTAAAAAACTTGCACATTTGTACTGTACGTCTCTTCTGGTTTCAATCAACAGTTCACAAAGTTGATGCCGATATGCGCCTTATTGCATAATTGCTCTGGGTGAACATCATCTTCAGAATCTTTCGAGTTATGTCCTTCCAAAAAAACACATTAGTTTCCTTAATCAAATGAGCAAAAAAACATTACGTGAATCTCATTTGTCTTAATTATATTATACATGCATAATTCACAAACATTAATTAGATAAGGGACAGGATTTAAAAAGTCTGTTAATCAATATCACCAATTCGTGCTCTCCTCGCCTCTTGCACAGACGTCAATGGGCGATGCGGACTCATGAATTATCAATGCGTGCGTGTGGGTATTGGTTATTTATGTAATTTATCATTATAACATATTTTTTACCACTGATCAGCGGTCATTTTTGAATCCAGGGCACACGAGTTTTTTGTTGTTGTAAATGAAGGGTTTGATATAAATAAGTTTATAAATTCTTCTTCTTCCACGCGTTTGTCCCGCTCATATAGGGGTGTCTGCTGTCCTTGCCAACCTTCTCCACGCTGCCCTGTCCTGCGCCGTCTCTCTCCGCTCCTCAGGCCACCGTGGTCCCATCGCACCACATCGCCCCATCGCACCACATCGCCCCCCCCCCCCCACCTCTGCTTCTGCCTTCCTCTTCTTGATCTCTTTCCTTACACTTGCATCACTCGCATCTTCTGACCCAAGTCACTTTCCTGCTGTCTCTCCACATGACCGAACCACACCCAGAGCCCTTTCTCTCACATCTTCTCTGTGACTTCTACCACCTTGAGTCTTCCTCTCACTTCTTCATTTCTCACCCAACGAACTCTATGGTGGAGAGGGAATTATTCTGGGATGGATGGTGGTGGGAGTCAAATTTTAGGTAGGTATACACAAGTTGGTAGTTCTGAGAAAAAGTGAAATTATAGTCGGTGGCCCTTTGAGATATCCACACGGACATTTGACCAACATGCACATGTAGGGCCCTATTGTATATCCTCTGCTGGACGATGGTCTCCCCATGCTGTGCATGTCATGGTACGAGGGTGGTGGTGGTGGGGGAGGCTTCGTTGGCCATATTTCACCACTCTGGGTCAGTGTGGGTTAGTGAAGGTGGACAGCATGGAGACGTGGACTGCATAGCACAGCGCAGCAATGGATTTTGATGCCCTGCACTCAGCGGCCCATGACGTAGCCCAGGACCCGTTGGCCAAATGCAGCAACGTTTCAGCTCGGGAATATGCCTCGCAAAGTTTCAACGCTCTCTCGCTCGCACTCTTAATGAGGTAGCACAACTTGCAAAAATGTATAAAAAATACATCCGTTGACTCGTGATGCCCATTTTCCACTTCATTGAAAGAAAAACATTTCTCCCTGTACATCAGTGCAGAAGCAATGGGGAACCAGCAGGAAGACTTTGCAACATGATTAAATTATCCCCTTGCGTTATGTCATTTTGCTTGTTTGTCCCGCCAACTGGAAAAATGTTAAGGAAATAATTAAATAGCAACAAATGCATTAACAAATGACCAACCAGAGCAACGTGCTGAATAAAGAGCGGGCATTAAATAATTATTTGATGCACAATTACTAAACATTATTGTGCAATGCGGCCGAGTCTTTATTCCTTATGGGATTGAATGTGTCTACGTATGTGTTGAACTTCTTTTGCAGCGTACATAGCCATCCGTGCTAATCGGAGGTGCGGTTTAGTGCCCAAGCCAAAAGGCAATTTGTCAATGACGTTGTGCATGGGTTCAAGTCCTGATGCTGGATAGCATCGCGGGGGGTTAATGCCCCCATATCAGGACATTAAGCCAGCACCTATGAGGACCTGGGTTCAAGCCCTGGGGCTGGGTTTATAACATAAGGTCAAAATCCATGTTGGGAAACTAAATCAGCTAGTCCCTGAGTTCAAGCCCTGAGTGTTTATACACATATTGTACATCAACTTTGATGACCTGATCTCAATGTAATATTTTGTTTCTCAAAGGGTAAATGCCCCGACGTAATAATACTCCTGCATTGAGACGTTTGGCCCTAAACCCATCCCAGTTGATGATATCATTGCCCAGGTCGACTTCGTCCTAAAGGGTTTGGGACACATTCCTGCAGACGTGGCAAGATCGGAAATCGCTGCAATCCTCGAAAATGCTAAGACACTATTAGCAACATCAGCAACGATCATCACCTTGAGCTTTCTCAACTAAAAAAGAGAGATGACTTCGTCATCCTCTCAGCCGACAAGGGCAATGCCACTGTCATCATGGACACAAGCACCAACAATAACACAATTCATGACCTACTTAATGATGGCAGATATACCAAAATCAACAGAGATCCTACCAACCGCCTGGTTACGAAAACCAACAACAACAACATCACTGATTCGACATCTTTAATCGAACCAACTTTAATCGAACCAACTAAGCGGCTTTACTTAAAACCCTTTGCTGCTAGACCGCATCGTGTGGGAACAAACCCGAGTGACTGGAGTGCTCAACCCATCACAATCAGGAGGGCATGAGTTCGCATGCCAATCCATCATCCCTCTTGGGTTGATGAAAATAAGACATTAGCCCCGACCACAGGAATGCATAATCTCTCAATGGACAGGAGCATTACCCCACGCTCGAGTATGGAAACGCTTGACCACTTCGATGTTTTTTCATCATTATTTCTCTCGCGTTTATAAAATCAGTACTACTTAGTGGGAACCTTACCTGTGTTGTTCATGGACTGGCCCCGGCCACACACACATGACATTTCCATCACTGAATTGGTACATGCTCAT